TTCACCCCCGCACGGCCGAGGGGTGCGGATCAACCCCCCCTCCGCCACGCCCCCCTTCTCCCCCCCCCGTGCCTCAGTTTCCCCATGTGTGTGTGGGGGGGTTACCCTGCACCTTGCTGGGTTTTGAGGTGACTGGGATACCCCCTCGTGCATCCAACTTCAGCCGTCACCATCCCCACGTCCCCACCCATCCTGGCATCCTGGTATATAAAGCCCTGGGGGTGCAGTGGCCTTACCTGCCTTCCTCTCTCCTCCTCCTCCTCCTCCCTGGATGCAGAGACCCTGTCCCAACGCCCCACCCCCCCTAGGGCAGGACATGAGTTGGGGAGGTCTCAGCTGCCGCCCACCCCAGGGCAGGCACTGGGGGGGGATGGCTCAGAGCTGGGGTCAGCGGGCTGCCAGGCACAGATGCCTCCTGGACACATTAGTTCCCTTCCCACATCCTGCCAAGCACCCACTGCCAGCACTGCTGGGGTGTCCTGAGGGGCCCCCAACACCCCCTGCCATGGCACCACCAGCCCCAAAAACCCAGCCCAGAGCCAGGGCCCAAGGCAACAAGACTGCAGCAATATTTATTCCTGTACAAACCATTACAAAACACAGGCACCCCACAGCTTCCATCAGCACTGACACCCCCAAAGCCCCAACAACAACAGGGACCAGACAGAGGGAAACTGAGGCACGGAGCCCTGCCAGGGCTCAGCACTCAAACACGCCGTATTTAGCTGTTTTTCCCAACCCCACCTTTCTGCTGCTGATAAATTAGTAACAAAATGTCCCACTCTCCCCAGGTACAGGGCACCAAGGGGCAATGCTGCCCCCCCTCCCCAACGACGTGCCCACTCCTAAATCCTTTATAAAGGCTGCTGCTGGCCCCTTCGTTACCGCTAACGAGCATCTTGCTCCTTCGGCCGGGCACACTTGGAGATAAACTTGAATACAAACCCCGGGACCAGAAGCTGGGAGGGGAAAGAAAATAAGCCCCCCAAAGACCCTCCCTTCCCCCCCAAATCCCATTGCTCAGTTAGAAAAGGTTCTGGCAGTGTGGGTGTGGGATGCAGCAGTGTCAGGAGACGGGTGGTCTTGGACACTGAGGGTGGCAGTGTCACCCCCATGGGGTCTCACTGAAAACTGGGGGGTTTTGCTGAGGGAAGGATGCCCACGGGCTGGGACCAGGGTGCTGGGGATGACAGAGGGGGGTTGAGCCCCAAAGGGTGGGGCACCCACCCAGAGGGTGTGGGGGGAAGAGTCTCCACAGTGGCCTCAAAAGTGATGACCCCAAACTGAGCCGAGGGGACCCGGCACCCCCTGTGCACTCACAGGGGCTGCAACCCCTGGACCAGGACGGGGCAGGATCACACCCCCACACTTCACACCCATGCAGGGGGAACCCCAAACATGGCCCTCACTCCCTGCCCCCCAAAAAAACCCAACACATCCTGGGTGTGAGGAGCCACCACGCATAACGCTGGTGGTCCCATGGGAGGCACCCACTGCTCCCCCCTTCCTGGAGGGATGCAGGGGACCTCCATTCATCCCAGCTCTGGGGGGGGCGGGGGGCCTGCCCAACTCGGGGGGAACAGCCCCTAAGGCCAGGTGGGGTGGGAGAAGGTGATGTTGTAGAGGCCTGCCCAGCTGGCAAAGACCCGCTTCTCGGTGATGAAGCGATGGTGG